GTCACACTCCAGCTCTGATCTGAAAAAGGCGGGCCTTCTTAACCTTATGAACGTCTCAGTTTTTCCAGTTATTTGAAATAGTACATGAGACAACACATATATCTAGCACCTGGCACAGGGGCCCAGAGGTAGCCGGATTATTAAATGCTGACTTACTTCCTTTCTCTTCTCAGTGTTCGTTAGGAAACTTTTTCTTATATTATATATCTGATATTATATAATTATATTATTATATCTTCTTATAAATCTTATATTAAAGCATTATGAAAAATTATGTCTCAGGCCCCCTTTAGGAATATGGTTATTGATGGTCATTAAAAACTCTTTATTCTATGGGAGATGAACAATATGTAATGGACAAATGAGAACAATTTCATGAAAGGAGTGGAAGCTGAGCTACAGTGACTTTAGAGGTCTGGTGCGGCGGGAAGGGAGACAATAACAGGAGGCATTGGAGGCACAACAATCAGAATTCATGTCCAGTAGCAAGCATGCCACCTGAACAGGGCTGGGAGTACAAAGAAATGAGGTTTGTTTTTGTTTTTGTTTTTTTCATGAAAGAGTACCTGTCAATATCAGTTAAGGAAAACATTGCCATCCATAAACTCTGTCCCCAAGATTCAGTCTCTTTCACTATAATCCTAGTTATATCCTTAGCAGCTAAGCAGTGCCTTGACTTGGTTACACAGGTAGCAGGAACATTACATTAAATTTCAGATTGAAGAAAGAGATACTTTGAACTAATAGATAAGAAAACCTCATGAACGAGCTCCTATTTGCCTGTATCACAAGCTTGATTCTGGAAATTACACATAATGTTGCATGATGGAGTGGCAGCAACAGGATCTATCAACACCCAAAAGGGATTTCAGTAGCAAGTGTCAGGCATTTATAAAATGTGTCACTTATATATACAAATAAGACATACTGTATTTTTACGCAAATAATGCATGCCTTCTACCTTTGTTTGCCAACTGTGCCCCCGCCCCCAGGTATTTTCAAAAGCTGTCAAAAAAATTAGCATGGTGTGCTTATGAAAATGGAAAATACCTTTCAGGAGGAAGGCAGGGTGAGCAAACAAACATAGGAGGCACATGTTATTTGCATAAAAATATGGTATACGTGCTATATATATATTAATTTTAGACTGAAGACACATACATATGTATCTTCAGATATATGTATATATGTATTTTCATATATATGTATCTTCAGTCCAAAATTTAGCCAAAAATTCCCACAACCTAGGTAACCAGGTCAAAGCTCTGTTTAACTACCAACGATTACAGTGGAAGAGACTGAATCTTAGGAATAAGGTTTACAGATGGCAACATTTTCCTTAATTTAATAGGTGCTCTTTTATCAAAAAAGAAACATACACACATATACTTATGTGTGTGTATATATGTGAGTGTATATATTTATAAACATATGTGTATAATATGGGTTATATATCATATACAGGATATGTAGCATATGGGTATATCAAAGAGGTCACTGTTGAGCCTGCAAGGAGGCAAGTAGAGTCTTTAAAATCTGCTGTGACAAGGCTGCTGTTTTTGTTGTTGTGAGCCTTCAAGTCAATTTCAACTCATAGTTTGCAAAGTAGAACTGTCCCACAGGGTTTCCTAGGCTGTAATCTTTAAGCGAGCAAATCATCAGGTCTTTTCTCCCATGGTGGGTTCCAACCGCTCACCTTTCGGTTAGCAGCCAAGTGCTTAACCATTGAGCCACCAGGTAGAGAAATGCGATAGTTTTCAGAAGGAACTGCAGAGGATTCAATGTGATAAAGATACAGTCCCTACCCTGGGCAAGGTACCTATTTAAGGAGATGGGTTCTTATTTTTTAGGTAACTGGAAGCCTTAAAGATATCTTTGCTCTTAAAACCCGAGTTGTCAAGAGACGACTCCATCACACATGTGAATAGGATAATAAGGTGCATAAGGAAGAGAAGATTTACAGGGGCTTAGTTTGTGGGCTCTAGCAGAAGTCCAGATGGGCTCTGCTCCAGGACTATGTGGTGAGGGTACAGATAATGTGGCCTAAGACATTGTGCAGGTAGAATCAATAGGACAAGGTCACTGATGAAATACAGTAAGTAAGGTACAGAACATTATTTGGAATGACTTGAATATTCTGACTCAGGATAACTGACGTAGAAGCAGCCATGAATTAGGAGGAGCTGATTTGGCCTTGGGGGAAATGGCCAATAGGTTAAATTTGTGTTGTGTCAGTTAACAATGCCAAAAAAGGGAGATGGAGTTCAGCGAGGAAGTCACAGCCGGAGACACAGATCTGGAAAGTTTCTGTTTGTAGATGACTGTGGAAGATGTGGAAATTTGTGTGTTCACTCGGGGAAGCAAGCTAGCGTCTTGAGGAACACTTCTATCTAGGGATTGGGAAGACAGAAAGAGGTCAGGGAAGTGCAGAGGTCAGGAACCAGAGCAGAGATCTAAATGGAAAGGGCTGGACAGCAGAACATAAGACACAGGGCAAGAAGTCTCAGGTTAGGATGGCGTTTGGCTTTGCAGTTTAGAAGCCATGTGTGTGGCTGGTACATTGAACAAGTAATTCAGAAATGAGTCTCTCTCCTCAAATCTCTCTTGAGCCATCTCCTTGCGTCTTCTCCTCCCTTGACATGGCTCTCCCTCATTTCCCTTTTTGTGCGTCCTCTTCTGTCTCAGATATATGTACTGATGTTCTTGCTGCTTTCCAAGTCACTAGCTGCTTTTTTAAAAGCCAAGTGCTGGTGAGAATATGGAGGGAGTAGTGGTTAAAAAAGAGCTTCAGTTCTGGCGTTACCACTTACTGCTTTGTAAATCAATTAAGGCAGAACTATTAACCTCTCTGAGCCAACATGAACAATGGTAAAATGGAAGTGAAAGTATCTACCTTACTGTGTCATTAAAAAACGAAATAAGGTAACTATATAAATTTATTATCACAGTTCCGGGCTCATAGTGAGTGCTAAACAATTTTGCACATTGTATTAAACATGGCTTATATCTACGCCTCTTTCTTGTTTTTTCCATCCTTTCATTTTTTTATTCACTACCCCTGTAACTTCTCCCTTTCTTCCTCAGTTTAGACTCTGAGAAGAAACTTTGGAATCAGATATCTGACACAAGACAGAAAGGGAAATGACACTATGCCTTTTCAGCTTAAAAAGTAGTCTAGACTGACTTACCCCTACCGTAGCTCATTGAGTCAAAATGAGAATCCTGAGTTCTCGTTAGAAGTAAAATTGTATTCTATGAGGTTTATCCTGGAAATATTTCTGATAGAATAGTGGACAGAAGTGCAACAGTTGGGTGATACACAGACTATCAGAAACTTTATAGAAACAGTATGTAATTTTGAAACAATAGAAGGAGGAAAGGAGATTTGTACTATATTTATTTAAAGCTTGGATCTGAGTTTTGTTTTCTTTGTTGTTGTCGTTTTTTCCTTGAAAAACATAACAGAGTTCTTTAGGATATAGGACCAGGGTGGGAGGAAATGTATTTTTCATAGTATCTAAGCTGAACAGATCATAATTTATGCATAAAACAAAAATAAAGCACTTTCATGAATTATCTGCACACAGGATTTAATTTCTTTTCAATTCTATCATAAACATATCACCCCCATCATGACCTTGAAACCACACCCTTAAATTCTCGGCAGAGTGGAGAGTGTCGGGAAAGAGTAAGAGGAAGGCCAAATGAGCTCATTGAAAGGTCCTGTGAGTCAGTCGTTGGCAAACCAATTTCGACTAACAATAATGGCATCCAAAAATCAAGTTGCCCGTGTTTTCCATCACTGAGGGGATAGTTTCATTGCAAAGAAGCTGTTCAGGGAATTCAAATGTCACTCAAACTAACAGAAAAATATTAGCTCTAGAGACAGTTTAAGGAGCCCTGGCGGCACAACGGTTAAGTGCTTGGCTGTTAACCGCAAGGTTGCCAGTTGGAACCTACCCAGCAACTCTGCGAGAAAAAGACGTGATGATCTGCTCTCATAAAGATTACAGCCAAGAAATCCCTGTGGGACAGTTCTACTCTGTCACATGGGGTCTCTATGGGTTGAAATTGACTTGACTGCACCTAGCAACAACAAGAGGCGGTCTAGTCCTTTAGTTGACAACTCCAGGAGCTACATGTCTTACACTGATCAAGATCTTTCTTCTGGTGGTCAACATTGTATGTTTTAGGGTCTTATTAGGTTACATAACCAAGTCAGAGGTGAAGGGACATATGACTTGACTGCTCCACTCAAGGGACTTGGAGAATCTTGGTTTGTGCTATTTTCACTGCCAAAGCAAGCGCTAGGAATACCTGTGTGTGAGGTCACATAGCGGAGAGATCAGTGTGGTCCAGAGAGCCAGGGTGCACTTCCTCGTGGTGATGGAGCCAGATGAAAGCTTAGGAGGTGAGTAAGGTGTGTGGACATCAATAAAGCCCTAACTGTTCACAAAGCCCTTACACTTGCTTTATGCCACCTCCCAGCTTCCTCCTACCACCACCTCAAAAAGACAAAGCAAGAAAGCCTAAGAAAGTGGACAACTCCCTGCCATGTGTTTTTAGGGAGAAGTCAAATATCTTAACGGTGATAGGAGCTATGTCAGGCTTTGGCCAAATTGGAAGAAACTTGTTAGCCATATGATAACGTTCCTTTTATCACATACTTAATGTCCCTTTATTCTCCCCAAGGATCTGCAGTTAAAGTAGGAATTTTCTCCCCATTTTACAGATGCAGAAATTGTGGTTCAAAGGGATTAAATGGCATAGTCAAGGTCACAGAGAAGAAAGCAGAGAAAGGACATATCTACAGTTGTTCAGGCTCTTGGTCTGACTGTTCTACATTTAAGTGTCTCTACAGAGGTAAAGAAGATCAGACAAGGTCTAACCTTAATAAGAAAGAATGGACACAGGAATGAAGAACAGTATTAATTCCTCCCCTCAGGTTTGCTTCATTACAATGTTCTCAATTCATTACAGGTGCCAGATAATGCATCAGCATGAGAAGTGGCAACCAGAGTTTCTTGGGGGATTCCCCTAAGAACTTCATCCTGCTGGGTGTTTCTGACAGGCCATGGCTGGAGCTTCCTCTTTTTGTGGTCCTTCTAGTGTCCTACGTTCTGGCCATGCTGGGCAACACTGCCATCATCTTGGTGTCTCGGCTAGATGCCCAGCTCCATAGCCGCATGTACATCTTCCTCAGCCACCTGTCCTTCCTGGACCTCTGCTATACCACCACCATGGTCCCACAGATGCTGTTCAACATGGGCAGCTCCAGGAAGACCATCAGCTATGGTGGCTGCACCGTGCAGTATGCTATCTTTCACTGGTTGGGCTGCACTGAGTGCATCGTCTTAGCCACCATGGCCCTGGACTGTTATGTGGCCATCTGTAAGCCCCTCCGGTATGCTGTTATCATGCACTGCCCTTTCTGCCCGCAGCTCGTGGCCATGGCCTGGGTCAGTGGCTTCTGCAACTCCCTAATTCAGGTGGTCCTGACAGTGCAGTTGCCTTTCTGCGGGCAGCAGGTGCTAAACAACTTTTTCTGCGAGGTACCAGCCATGATCAAGCTGTCGTGTGCTGGCACGACTGTGAATGATGCTACCTTGGCTGTGCTCATGGCCTTCTTTGTGCTAGCCCCCCTAGCTCTCATCCTTCTCTCCTATGGCTTCATTGCCTGTGCGGTGCTCAGGATCCAGTCCTCTAAGTGACGGCACAAGGCCTTTGGGACTTGTTCTTCCCGCCTGATGGTGGTCTCCCTCTTCTACCTACCTGCCATCTACATGTATCTGCAGCCGCCTTCCAGCTACTCCCGAGAGTTGGGAAAGTTTATCTCCCTCTTCTATTCCATAATCACCCCCACTCTCAATCCCTTCACCTATACCCTGAGGAATAAGGATGTGAAAGGAACCCTGAGAAGACTCCTGGAAAGGATCTGGAGGATCTGCAGATGAACGAGATGTGGCAATTTCTACTTATTAAAGGACATTTAATACGTGTATCGTGTGCTCAGAGTACCTTTCACTTAATAAGTTAATAATGAAACAGTGTAGGTTTTTAAGATATCTAAGATCCGAAAAAAACCCTTCCAAAACATTTTACCTCCTAGGTGATCACAGTGCCTAAAATTCCACCTTTAATTCTAAGATGCCATATGTTTTCGGGAATTGTTTAAACCGACTTGGTGTTTAATAAGTATTTGTCAAGTTATTTATTTTCTAATTCTTGATCCTCCTCCCTCCTCATCTCCCTATTCTTCTTCCATTTTTCAACCATTTGTCTCTTTCAAATCTTCTCTCTTACTTTCCCTATTACTCCTATGTATACATATTATGAAATTAAAACATATTACTTAAAATGAATTTATATTCCTCTTCTTAAATTTAAATCTCCATGAATTTTATGACTCTCAAAAACTTTCAGGAATGAAGTATAGTGCTTTCTTCTTACTTTGACCTTAGGTGATGTCTTTTCCTGTAGTTCAAATAGAAAATTTTCCCAATAATTGGGAACTAGTACAAGCATTGGGCAAATTTGCAAAAGACCTATTTAAAGTGTTAAAAAGCAAAGACGTCACTTTGAGAACTAAGGTGTGCCTGACTCAAGCTATGGTATATTCAATCGTCTCATATGCATGGGAAAGCTGGACAATGAATAAGGAAGACTGAAGAAGAATTGATGCCTTTGAATTATGGTGTTGGCAAAGAATATTGAATGTACCATGGAGTGCCAAAAGAATGAATAAATCTGTCTTGGAGCAAGTACAGCCAGAATGCTTCTTAGAAGCGAGGATGGAAAGCTGCATCTCACACACTTTGGACATGTTATCAAGTGGGATCAGTCCCTGGAGAAAGACATCATGCTTGGTAAGGTAGAGGGTCAGCGAAAAACAGGAAGACCTTCAACAAAATGGATTGACACAGTGGCTGCAACAATGGGCTCAAGTATAGCAACGATTGTGAGGATGGCCAAGATGGGGCAGTGTTTTGTTCTGTTGTACATTGGGTCACTAGGAGTCAGAACCAATTTGACAGCACCTAATAACAACAAAATAACATTATCTATTGGAACATGTATAGAGAAGAGTATGACATTTACTCTAGGTTCCCTGTGCCCCTTTTATCTGACATTAATCATTTAGCAAAACCAAAGGTCTCTTTAAGCCCCTTCTAGATCAGGACAATAAAATGAACAAAATCAAGTGATGTTAGTTCTTTATCTTAAAGTCCCTATGTGGTGCAGTTAACAAGCTTGGCTGCTAACCAAAAGATTAGAGATTTGAGTTCACCCAGAAGTGCCTAGGGAAAAAGTTCTGGCAATCTACTTCCAAAAATATCAGCCATTGAAAACTCTATGGAGCACAGTTCTTCTCTGACACACATGGGTTTGCCATGAGTTACAGTCAACTTGATACTAACTGGTACTACAATCATCTATGTTTTTCTCATTAATAATTATCAGATGTTTCTTTAAAATAATGATAAGCACAGAAATGTCATCATGACTCATACTTTGAATCTATTAATGTCTTTTGATCCCATTACCTTCAAAGCAAAATTTAAATTCCTGAATAAAATTTGTGCTTATGCCTGTTTTTATCTAGCTTCATCTCTTACCATGTTCTTCCACCCACCTGGTACCCATTCTTCCTTTGTTTATCATTTTCTCCTGTGATCACAATGTCCAGGAAGTGCTGACCATCCAGTCCCAGGAGCGATGGAGGAAGACTTTCCACACTTGCTCTTCCCATCTGGTGGTTTTCTTCCTCTTTTACCACAGTATCACTGCAGTCTATATTTGGCCCCAAAGCCATTTCTCCCAACAGGGAGGGAAATTCCTGACTTCTACATTGTGGTGACACCTACTCTCAATTCCCTTATCTACACTTTGAGGAACAAGGATGTGAAGGGGGCTCTCAAGGAGTTATTTGGGAAAGACAGAATGGCCAGTGAGAAGTGATGGGCTCAGACTCAAGGGCAAGGTCAGCTTTTATCCAATTAAGTTACTCACAGCATTAAATTTTTGGTACTTCATGGATGATTCTCAATTACAACACTAATACAAAGGATGAATATTCAAATAGTGGACCAACCAAAGGAAATTATTAATAACTATTTGGAGTAATGTCACAGAAATGGCAGAGTAGTCAGTGCCAAGGATAGGTCTCTCCACTGAAGCAAACATTAAGGAGGCAAAAACTAACAGAATCAGCTTTTTTGGAACTCTGAAATCTAATAAAAAACTTACTGAAACCAGAGGGGTGGTGTCTTAGTCATCTAGCACTGCTATAACAGAAATACCACAAGTGGATGGCTTTAACAAAGAGAAATGTATTCTCTCACAGTCTAGTAGGTGGCAAGTCCAATTCGGGACACCAGCTCCAGGGGAAGGCTTTTTCTCTGTCGTCTCTGGAGGAAGGTCCTTGTCATCAATCTTCCCCTGGTCGAGGAGCTTCTCAGGCACACCAATCCTGGGTCCAAAGGATGTGCTCTGCTTCTGGTGCTACTTTCTTGGTGGTATGAGGTCCACATCTCTCTCTGTTGGCTTCTCTCTTTCATATCTCAAAAGAGATTGGCTTAAGACACTATCTAATCTTGTAGATCTCATCAATACAACTGACACTAATCCATCTCATTACATCATAGTGATAGGATTTACAAAACATAGGGAAATCACAGCAGATGACAAAATTGTAGACAATGACACAATACTGGGAATCATGACCTAGTCAAGTTGGCAGATATTTTGGAGGGACACAATTCAATCCATGACAAGTGGTTAATGAAGAAAGAGGCTGCTAAGTTTCAGTAAGAAAACATTGTGGTTTTTTTTTCTTACCTGCCTAACATCCCCTATTCTCAGTATGGCAGTGACCATTGGGACAGCAGCCCATATTAAGGATGTGCCTTGCTAGTCCTTGGGGAGGGGATGAAGGATATGGACATTTAAAAAAAAAAATTGTAGCTGTGCATGTTGACCTGTCTTGTGGCTCCCTGGGGACCTGGCACAGAGGCTGACCTTTATTTTGCCACCTTTAAGTTGAAGCAGCTTTCCTGGTGACATCTGTTGAAAGAATTCAAAGACATTTTCTACTCACAGTCATGTGGGGCAAAGGACAGTAGATGGGGCAAACAGCAGACCAACCCAACAGCCTGGGAAGGAAGAGACTGATGAGAAAGATTCTTGGAAGAATCAGGGCCTTGGATGACTACCATGTGTACAGAGGAGAAGTGAGGGCAATGCGCATGCCCAAGAATGGACACATGCACTGAAAAGATCTGAAAGGATCCTAAACTTGCACCTCTGGTTGATCTTTGGGCTCCATACAGCAGGAGATGAAGATTAAGGCAAAGTTATAGGTGGCCTGTTTTAATGTATAAGAAGTACATGAGTTCAGACTCAATCTGAAAAGACTAGAAGAGTATTTTTTGTCTTGTCTCAATGTGTGTAAGAAAATTTCTGTCAAGTCATTGACAGCTAAAATAACAGAACAGAGACTTTAGTGACAGTACATGAAGAAGAATACATTCTTTGCAATGGGTCCCTATGTGATGCAACAGGATAAACACTTGAATACTAGCCAAAAAGCTAGAGGTTCAAAAATCACCCAGAGGTGCCTCAGAAGACTGGCCTGGCAATCTGTTTCTGAAAGGTCACAGACCTGAAAATCCTATAGAACAGTTCTACTTTGCACACATGAGGTCACCATGAGTTGGAACTCACTCAGTGGAAACTAACAATAACATATACAAAAATAAAATGTCCTTGTTTCAACAAAAAAATCAAAAGGCATACAAAGAAATAGAAAGATGACAACATGCATAAGAAAATAATGAAGTGACAGAAACTGGCCCTATGGAAACTCATATAATGGACAGACTAGAAGATTTTAAAACATTAAATATGATCAAAGAATTAAATGAAAACATGGAAAAAAACTAAAAGTAATCAGTACCGCTATACAGGAAGAAAACAAGACTATAAATAAAGATAGATGCTGGAAAAGGAACCATAAAAAATACAATAACTGAAATGAAACATTTTCTTTACAGGTTCAACAACAGATGTGAGCTGGCAGAAGAAAGAATCAGTGAACTTAGAGAAAGGACAGTTGATGTTATTGGATCTGAGGAGAAAAAAAGAACAAAGAATGAAGAAAAGTGAACAGGGCCTAAGGGATGTGTGGGACACCATCAAACGAACCAATAAATGCATTATAAGAGACTCAGAGGAGAAAAAAGAAAAGGACAGAAAGACTAGTTAAAGGTATAATAACACAAAACCTCCCAAAATTGATGAAGGGCAAGAATCTATAGATTAAAGAAACTCAATGAACTTCAAGTAGGGTAAACCCAAGGAGAGCCACACCAAAAACCAAAGACAAAGAATCTTGAAAGAATCAAGAGAGTTATGAATAATCACATAAAAGGGAATCTCAATAAGATTAAGTTTCCATTTCTCTTCAGAAAACATGGAGGCCAGAAGGCAATGTGATACATATTTGAAGTGTAAAACAACAGAACTGTCAACCAAGAATTACATGTATGGCAAAAATGTACATCAAAAATAAGGAAGAAATTAAAACAGTCACAGATAAACAAAAGTTGAGAGAGTTTTTTATGAATAGACCTGCCCTACAGGAAATGCTAGAGGAAGTCTTAAAGTATTTAAATAAACATACACTGTAAAGTAACTCAAAACCATATAAAGAAAAAATGATCTCCAGTAAAGGTAATTTCATGGGGAAATATAAAGACAATTTTGATGGTATTTTTGGTTTGTAACTATAGTTGTTATTCTACATGATCTAAAATGATGAATGCATAAAACAAAATAAATTTGTTATTAGACACATAATGCATAAAGATGTAATTTGTGACAACAACATAAAAGAGGGATAGGGGCTTCATAGGAATAGACTTTTTGTATGTTATTGATGTTAAGTGGGTATTAA